TTCATTCATCATTCATTCATTCCATTCATGTTCATTATTTGAATAACCTTAGTCTCAGTAGATGTTCTTATTTATATTATAGATTAAAACCTAGTTCTTTCTTTTATGTATTCCTAACCTATTTGGAATGTTTTTATCATATAATCTGAATATTAAATAGTGTGAGAGGCAGATCTTATTAAGGAGCGTAGCGAGAGAGTGGGCTTCACGCCTAAATCTAGCACTCTTGGGTAAGGCGAGGCGGGAGGATTTATAATTGACATACAGAGATCAGAGATAGCTTGAAACCAGCCTAAGCAAGAACGCATGTTACACGATCTCACTTATCGATAGAAATGAGAAAATAGAAGAAATTTAATTGGCTATAAAGAATATATATACAATTAGATTGATTGTATTTTTAGCCGATAGGCATTGTTGTGGCACATGCCTGTGGTCCCAGCTACTTGGGAGGCTGAGGCAGGAGGATCGCTTGAGCCCAAGAGTTTGAGGTTGCTGTGAGCTAGGCTGACACCACGGCACTCACTCTAGCCTGGGCAACAAAGTGAGACTCTGTCTCAAAAAAAAAAAAAAAAAATAGTGTGAGAACATAGGGGAAATTTTCTTGGTGGAAGAAACTCTGAGAACACTGTACAAATTGTAACATCTGTTTCAACAGTGATGGTAATACAATTTTTTTTCTGCACTCCACTTGGATTGGCTGACCTTTTTAGTACCAGGCAATGCAAGTCTATAAACAGGTAGGATATTAAATGACTAAGGTCACTAAGAAATATTGTCTTAATATTAATAGTTCATGGTAGGAAGAGAAATTTCATTCCCCATTCCCCATGTCATAAAATGTCATACAAAATGGCTAAAATCTTCTTCTTCTTTTTTTTTTTTGGAATTTTTAAAAATCTGTGTTGAATAAGTAACTTTAGGGAGGATGGTGGGTAAAACAGTTCAACAAATAAATCCTTGAGAATAATCACCGTGCATATATTGCCTCTTCTCTACTCAATTAAAAGGATTTCTTTAGAGTAATAAAAGAAAGGTTACATTTTCATTGTTTGTTTTATTTGCCAAAGTAGCACCACAAAGTGATACAAAGTATCTGAACTGGTCTTATTTGAAATCTAGCTTCTAAGGTGCTTCCACCATCATCAAATGATTAGTGAATCTAGAGAACAGAGACATAAAATTAAGCAAGCAAATTACATTAGTAAGCATTTTGACCTTTTCTCTCCTTTTTTAAATTAATTTCCAAATATTAAGTGGGTACAAATGTTTCTTTTACATGGATGGCTTTTATAATGCTTATGTCAGGAAAATGGCTAAAATCCTAACAATTCTTAGCATATAATTATACAAAATGGTAGATTTCAGGAAACCATTCTACCTTGACTAATGGATACTAGGCTAGAATTTAATAATGAAATGTCTGTCAATTTTTTGTATAATCTTTTTGAAAACAACTCATGCTTACCACTAGAGTCTCCATGCTCCCCAAGGACCCATCCATGACAGCTTAGTGGGTGAATTCCCAACCTCTCCCCCATCAGGTAACGGAACCGAGCTGAATCCAGATTGCAACCACTTCCAATAACACGGTTTTTGGGAAAGCCACTTATCTTCCAAGCCACATAGGTCAAGATATCCACTGGATTTGAAACAATAAGCAACTTGCAGTTTGGGCTGTATTTTACAACATTAGGAATGATGAACTTAAAGATGTTCACGTTTCGCTGGACCAAATTAAGACGGCTTTCTCCCTCCTGCTGACGTGCCCCAGCTGTGACAATAACCAACTTGGAGTTTGCAGTTACATTATAGTCTTTGCTGGAGACAATTTTTGGTGTTCTAAGGAAAAGGCTGCCATGTTGGAGATCCATCATCTCGCCCTTCAATTTGTCTTCAATGACATCAACAAGAGCAAGCTCATCTGCCAAGTCCTTCATTAAGATACTGATGGCACATGCCATGCCAACAGCACCAACCCCAACAACTGTGATCTTATTCTGGGGGGTCTGTTCTTCCTTTAGAAGATTAAAAATCAGCTGATCCTTGAGAGTCGCCATACCGGATTTGGAACCAAAAGGAATCGGGAATGCAAGTCGGGGGGCGTCGGAGGCGCGCGACAAAGACGTCCGGACTCGGCGGCAGCGACTCCAGCCTAACCATACATTTTTATATCCACTTGCATTCTGTTTGCAATGGTAGGCAGTTATTTAATGTGACGTTTATTATCTCTCCAGTGAGATCTTTAAGTGATTTAGGAATTTGTATCCTTCTTTTCTATTATAATTTTTGTTCCCCACCCTAATGTTGAGCAAAATGCTATGTGTTTAATAATTAAATGTCTGTTTCCTCAATTACTAGAGATTCACTTAGTTTTT